TATATTTTCTGCTAGTCTCTTATTAGAGAATTGTGTACTCAAAATGGCTTTGTCCATTCTTTTTCCCTCCATATCTGAACCTTAATAATTCAAATGTCAAAAAAAAAATCAGTGCATTTCACAAATCACAGCATGTTAGCATCTGTTTTCAGAAAACTAATATAACTCAATTTCCTTTACCTTGCTTCTGGTTGTCAGCTTCCTCAGCAAACTTGCATTCCTCACACAGCCATTGACCTTTAGGAACTCTCCGAAGCATCTTTCGCATGCAATAGCTGCTTTTAGCAATAATAATGTTAACAAATTTTGATCACAGGCATGGGATCAACATAAAATATCACCATCAAAACCTGACAGCAGAAAGTACAGCGAAAGACTATTACATGTGTTCTGCACCATCGCTGCACCTACTACACATGGCAAGCATATCTTCGCGACCTGCATCCCCACAAATATCGCATACTTTTACCTGTTTATGAACCCCAAAAAAAAAAGGAAAATGTTTAGTTCTTCAGCTAAAGAAATAAGAGGCTAAAGTTTCTTCTACTAAAATATAGATCCTCCAGAACCTAAAGTAAAAAGAAGCCACTACAGGCCTCAACTGAATACATCAAGCATATCATCCTTCAAATGAAAATGTGAAGGCATCAGTATCTAACTAAATAGCAAACATTTGACAAATTCTTAACAAACAAAGACGGATGTGTTCCTAATCACACTGAAAAAAGCTGCAAATACCTGATTGCCCAATATTTTCTGAAAACATGTTAATCAACATAAGGCTTGATCAATCAATTGAGTGCTAACGACAACAGACAATTCATGGGACCACAGTTCTGTGAACCATAAATCAAGAGGCTTATATTAACAAAACTTCAGAACTAACAACTAGCAAGAAAATATCATTTTATCCGAAAACATATATAGAGGCTCTTAGGGGAAGCACCAAAAAAAGTCCAAAGAACACAGATAACAAGAATTTTCTGCAGAGAAGTCATACATACAAATTTTACTTTGGGGGGGGGGGACTCACATCATGCTCTACAATGTCCGATTCATCACTGTCATCTCCAGAAGCAGATTGCAAGGGCTGCTTGTCAGCTACTGCGACCAACTCATTAGACTTCACATCTTGTTCGCCATGATCCAAACATTTCAAAGCTTCATCATTTAGGTCTTGGCCATTACCATTGGTCTCTACTTCTGTCTTTGGACAGATTTTGGTAGAGGCCCCCAAACCTGTATTAGAATCAAATTTCTGGCGAGCGACAATATCAGATGGTGACTCTTTTATTAATGATGAATCCATATTCCCAGAGCATTCTGGCAGTTTTCCCTGCATATGAGAAGACGCATCCTCTCTAAATCAGTTATTAAAAAAAATAAAAATAAAAAGTTAAAGGAACATGATGCACCAATTTGTGAGTGGGAGCATGACTTTGCACCTTTGGTGCGCTATCACCGGCATCTGCAGCTTTTACCATCTCTGACAAGACTGACTTGTGTGCCTTTTCAACTTCTTCTGGATCTACACTACCAACTGAAGCAAAACTACAAGACAAATTCTTCCGTTCTACATTTCTGTTATGGTGATTGACTGCTAAATTTGCATCATTGACTCTACTTATACATGAAATGTTATCATCATTGACTTCAACAACTTTAGAATCCTCAAACGTATTTGTAAGCAACTCAAAACCTTCTACAGCATCAGATGTATCAGAAGACCTTATGGGTGCTTTGCTTTCAGCATTTTCAGACAAAGAATCATGACTTGAATTAACACTAAGTAGGTTACTAGTCTCACTGGTGGTATGTTGTAAACTGTCACATGCCTTGCTCTTAAAAGAAGCTGTAGTATCGCCCACATTGATAGAATATTGACTAGCCGCATTAACACGACAGGTTTCATCAGAAAATTCATCAGCCTTTGACCCCATAAGAGCTCTATTAAAATGCACACAAGATGAACAGGGAGCAGAGCACAGGTTACAAGCCCCAGACTCGCCTCTCATATGAACTTTCCGACTCATAGAATGCTTACCAAATTCTTTTATAGATTGAGATGACACCTAATAAATACAATAAATCAATTAGGAACGGATACAATACAAAAATTAACAATGGAGAATTGAAAAAGAAAAAAACTCATGAAAGATGTACAGACAACTCCTGAGTTTTCAACAGCGACCATATTTAAGCATGGAAAATGTAAAAATCAGGTCAATGAGATAAAGGCAACACCAAAAGTCACTCGCAGTTTAAGGGAGTATAGATAAAAGAAAATAACACACTAAACCAGATTTCAATATGAAAAATAATGTTCTCATGGTCGTTCTTTTATTTTGAGTTTTTAATGCTCATTATTACCAATGTCCTCCAAATGCACCTGAATAACATCCTCCACTACCAAACAAAGAAGGATAACAAGTAACTACAACTGCAGGAAGCTGCATGTGACAATCCTCTCCACTGGCCTGTCAACATTCTCACAAATAAAAATTACTCTTAGATTAATGTGTAAAAGAAATTCCTGCACTGTTCCAAGAATGGATTCAATCAACCATTACAGCCACACTCCTAGTCAGCGAGAAGTGTCCAATGAAGTTATTAGCAAGAAATGCATATGGTTTGCAGCACAAACTAATTCCGGCACTGTTCCTAGAACCTGGATTCAATCATCCATTACAGCCACACTCCTAGTTATTCAGAAATGTCTAGTGAAATTCTTATAACTCTAACGTTGTTCCTCATAGTCAACAAAAAAACAATAAACTCCCAAAAGCCTAATTGTCTATTTCTCTTTTTTTTTCTTCCTTTGAAATACGCACTACTGCATGATACAGGAAAAGACAGCTGAAAATTAATAAAAAGAAAAAGAAAGAAGGCAAATTACCCTGTTTTCTCACCATATTCTTCTTAATATCATGATCAGTCTCATCAGCAGGCCCTTGCATACGATGACTCCCTCTCAAGACTGGTGTGATCTAAAAAGGGACACCAAAATTACATTAATTCCAATCTCCGGTAGCCAATTATGGAATACTCTGGACTAACATTAATGGCTGAAAACTAAATCCATTTAGAGGCAAAGAGACTCATATCAAGCTAACAAATTTAATATGTATATATACGTACAAAGTGATGCAATCAAACCCAGAATGAAACTTGACAAAATATAGGCCCGAAAACCCTAACCATGAAATCAACACTATCATGAATAATACAACCGTTTGGCAATCAATTCAGCGAGTAATCTGATCATACTGAAAAAAATCAAATTCTCTCAAAAGAGAAGGGGTTAAAAGAACCAAGTCGGCTAACAATTACGTGCCTCTGGTTTCATAACAATCCGCGTGGCGTTGTAAAGCTCATCGACTGCCCGTTCCTTCCTGCAGGACATCATCAAGATGACAACCAGTCCCAACCCTAATCTAATCCAAACCCAAACTCCGCTATTCCAATTGCAGGAATCCCTCACGGTTGAATTCAATTCGATTAAAAACCCTAACTTCCCAGCAAATGGTATCCAAAATCAAGTTCTCAGACAACAACCACATGACCATCTACTCTATTACACCACACAGAATCTGATTAAATAAAATCTTTTGTGTTTATTTGTATATAAAATATATATCTCGCTTTCTCTCTCTACTTTCTTTCTATCTCTCTCTGTGATCTGGGAAAAAATCCTGCAATGGAATCCATCTACATATTAAGCAGCTTAAATCTCGCCAGGAATTTTATTTTCTACGGAAAATGAGTAAATGAGTAAAGTTTCGTATATTTCGAATTTAAATGCGGGCCTAAAAAAATTGGGGGTCCGGAAAAAAAAATTGCGGGTCTACCATATTACGGCCTGTCTGATTTTTTATTTTAGTTTGACGAATAATATTACTCTTACCATATTATACCATATTCTTATATCACTTTATGTGGTAATTGAAGTGGACATTCACATCAATAAAAATTATTTAATAATTTTCTTTTTTTTTATATTTATTTTTATATTTATTTTTTTAATTTTCTTAATTAAAATATATTTCGTTGATTTAATTGATGTGGCATATAATATGTGACATACTTTATGTGGTATAAAAATATAGGATAAAAATGTAGTAAGTGTAGCATTAATTTTTTTCTTTTTTTTTTTCAAATTTGACAACTACAAATTTAACATCAAGTTCCTCTAAAAACAAAACATGACGTTTTATTTTGGTACCATATATGGCCAAACCCAAAAGAAAAAGGTTTTTGGTTTATTTTATAAAGTTACACTTCTTCCACACTAATCTAACTTATTTTATACTACGAACTATATCATTTTAATTTTGAAAAAATTTAATCTTGTAGTTGAATTTGATTTGGAATCAAGTCTAAATTATAAAATTGGTCAAATTAATAGATTAAATTTGACAAGGATCTAATTTGACATAGATCATAGAGAAAAAAAATTAGTTGAATTGTAAGGGCAAAGAAATATGATATGCGTAAAAAGACATATGTCGCGGATCTTCTTCGTAGAAATTTTATATTTTCAGAAAACGTGTAAATAGAGGTATTATCTCCATTATTACGAAGTCAACCATCCTTTTTGGGTCATTAGTTTCACCCATAAAAAATTCTCTCTATTATTATTATCTCTAATAATAATAATCACGAAGGCTAAGGCTTGGATGGATTTTGAATTGCATTCATCTTTCCTTGTGGTTCAAATCGTATTATCTTCCCATGCGGACAAGCGAAGATGATATGCCTAACAAGTGGCATGCTACAAAATAAATAAATAATATGGGTACCTGATCGGTGCATATTTACATATCATTTTGTACCCTTCTAGCTTATGATTTGGTTATGTTTTTGAGTTAAACTTGTGCTTTTAATCCTTTTTGTGTTTATCTTTCAGTTCATTGAGCTTTAGGTAATAATGAGGGCTTTGGATAGTAAATGATGCAATCTACCACGCAAATTACTTCATAGTTAAGTAAAACCACCCGCAATTTCATAATAAAACCTAAAAAATGCATTATGAATCAAATCATTCAAATCGCCTTCTTTTTGGAATTTTTATGAAAAGGTTAAGTTGTTAGTTACATTACATAGTTGGCATTAAACTACATTAATCAATCGGGTGTTTGTCAGCCTGCCGAGAGGTATAATGTGCAGAAAGCAAAAGCAGAGAAAGAAAAGCACTGGCCACAAAGATTGCATCAAACCACCGGTGATAGAAGTCAAATTGAATATCTCCACCCAATACATCTGTTATGATCATCCTGCCAGGAGATAAAAGCTCAGGCAACAATACTCTATCTCTATCCAAAACTCGTTCAACACGCAATCAAGTTTATATGACACAAGACCTAACAAAGTTTGACGACCATCATTTGGAAATCTGCACTTCTAGACAGACAAAACATGGCTAAAGTAACAATTTCAGTCAATAATCAAGTGTAATATACTTTTTTTATATTAGTATAGTTTTCTCTTAATTTGTGAATTCAAAATTTCAATTTATTAAATAATAAGGTATTAATTCCAACATACTGTAAATGTAGTTTACAATTACAACAAGAAATATTCCTCGCACCATTACTGTTGTCAATACCTGGATGCATCTTGTAAGCCAAAGTATTTTGGTCGGTTACTATTTTTCCCCAAGCCCTCCATACTTATGAAGTATAAGAAGAGGACAATGTTTTTGTTCTGAAACTGAGAATAGAGGCAACTTCTGGTTTTCATGTAAATGTGCATCAAATTCATTTCAAAGTTTTGAAGCATGTTTTCGCCCTAACAAAATACAATAATTAGGAAATTTGAGGTGCGGTATGCACACTAGAGTGAAAATAATTAGCACTTAAGCTCAATACAACTGACCAAAATTCATAAACATAACCAGAGTCCAGACCATTCAACATCAAGGAAAGAAAAACCAAAAACAAAAATAAATGTTGACAAACATCAATTATCAGCATACCTGTACTCAGTTGCCAAGCTTTTTCTTATCAAAAGAATAGAGGACAGGAAGTACATTCCCATAATTTCAGACAGAAATAGTACAACATTGCTAGAAGATCCACTCCCAACTCTTGATACTGCAAAAAAGAACTGTGCACAGCAAAGACAGAAAGCCAAGCCATAGGATATCAGAAAACAATGAAAAAAGATGATCCATTTGTCCTTCCACCAGTTTCTCGTTAACAAAGATAACAAAAAATGAAAATGATTGAAGGCATTGATGTCATTGATGTCATTGCACCAGGCATGTATATAAAAAGGTCATATCAAAATACTATGCCACTTAATAATCCAAAGACTGGTAGTAAGAGAACAACCAGCGTATTCCCAGAAAACGACTTAAAATGGGATTAAGACCTGGTTAAGATCAATTTATTTTTTATTCATGTAATTGCAGCACTAGCATGTACAACCTAAAAAGAAGGAAGTATCTGGTTATAAACTCCAGATCCAAAACAACTGTGTTTTAACTTTCAGCTATTTAGCCTTGCCGGTTTGTCTGCAACTCAGTCAAAAGTTAAAAAGCAAGCATTCAGAACTCTTTTTTTTTCTTTTTCTAAAAAGACTGGACACCGCATTTTGGTAATCAGTCTGAAGAAAGCAAATCAGTGCATTGTGGTTCTCCAACTTAAATAAGAAATAAATGAAAAGGCAGGCATAAGAAGGATTACCTTCATTAAATTTGTCAAGAATCCACGAACTGATATAACAATCAACATTCCAATGAACAAGAGTGAAATATACTGTCAACAATGAGAACAAAAGAAGTGTCAACAACGTGTTCAATAGTCTAACCAATCAAGCATTATAAGTATATATCATAAGATTCAATTGCATATTTCCAAATCCGTACTAGAATAAATGGAATTCAGAAACTAGCACATATTGGAAATAAGGCCAAAGTCAGGAGTCTAATTGTTTTAATGACTGTGAATTTGCATATATTTTGTGCTACTAAAATCACAGGACTGCCACCCATTGCTCGTAATCCACTAAATTGTTGCGCTTCATCCAAAACAGGAATAAGATCGAGGTGGCTGTCTAAATTATTGCAAAAGGTAATACATTAAATAACTGCAAGTTTGTCCTTTGAGGGGGGGGGGAAAGACCACAGGCATGCAGCTTCAGGTATAAAACCAAAGGGTCAACCAATATAGGTGTAAATGTTAAGCTGGCTAACCTGTGACAACAATGCTGCATTGATACCAATGTCAAAGAACTGCAAGAATATGCTAATTGTCATTGTAACAGGATCCACAGAGCCAGCCTGTTAGAGAACTTTTTATTATTTATCCAATACAAAATTGGAAATTAATAGCCAGAAAGCAGAAACATACATATAAGCAAGCGTCAAAAGTAAGAAGTGAGAGATGAAAGCAATACCTCTTTGAAAACAACACTTTGCAAAGACTGCAGAGAGCAATTAAAAGGAATCAGGCACTTTTCAAAAATCAAAATCCAAAACTAGGAAGGAAAAAAAATGAAGGACATCGCTTGCTTAAAAAAAAAAAAGGTAATACAAACCCTTTCTGCAGACAGAATTTTCTTTTGTATCCCACAGATGACTCCCCATATTTTTCTTACAAATGGGATGTAAAAATTCTAATAAGTGAGAAAAATAAAATTTAAGTGGGAAACTCTTACATTGGAGAGAGAAACACCACAAATTCTGGTGCGAATTTTAGAGTACTTTTGTATACCGAAATTCGGAGTAACCTAACAGGTCTTAGATTGCATGTAGGCCTACACTAGATAGTTTAATTATATCAGGGATTCACTCATTAAGAGGCATCAAGTCCTCATATGTTGTGTGTGTATGATGATATAATTTTTATGACATAAAATTCAAGATTTAAGATTCAAATATCTTTAGTATTTGACGCAAGACTCAAGATTCAAATATATGATAAGATCTCATAATCATTAAAGAATAAACTTTCCAGCAAAATGGAACCAATAAGCATATAATATAAAAATTGACCAGCAAAAGGTTCTGATGTGTTTGAGAGCTGTCCAGAGTATATGCTAATGTAATGTCCAAACCTTGTTTTACTCAAAGAAGAGAAAATTAATTTTAAATTTGACATGTGTACTTGTATCTAAACTGACTTTAATTCGTACCACCTCCTTGAGCAAAAAAATGCAACCCATACCTTAATCATTTTATATACACAGTAGATTGAACATGCATAACCAAGTAGATTCTGCATATGACCCTTCCAGGTTCGAGAATAAGCAGCAGCTTCCTGTAAAGTAATAACAATTTAAGTTTATATGCCACCAATCAGGCACAGAACAGGTTTGGGCATTAAATATAGGTAAGCATTATGATGTTCTAACTTTAGTCAACTTGATCATTTCTATCATCCACTATACTCTTTAATGGCCCATGGAATTGTTTTTTTTATAGCCTGCACAAATTTTCCACCCAGTACATAAAAGAACAGATGCATGGTTCAGTACTCGCATAGAGCAGTAGTTCTAGAAAGGAGACATTTGAAATTAAATAGTATAATCAATAATACATAATTGGAACTGAACCTTTGCTTGACGAAGCTCATAAATTTCCAGGAATAGCTGCTTTGAAAGCTCTTCTAATGCTTGCACTTCTGCTTCCATGTTTTTAATATCTTTGTAACCCAAAAGAGAATGGAGGGGAGGGAGGGAGGGAGGGAGGGAGAGAACATAGGAGGGAAATAAGTGAAATAAGACAACGACGAAATCTTTACAAAGTAAAGGCACAATGTTGATAGTCTGGAAAGCTCAATAAGTCAACATATTTAATAGTTCTCGATGCATGCAAGTAATATGGCAAGAGAAGTAGTTAAGAAAAGTAAAAATTAAAAAATCATCGATAAAAGACCAAAAACAATCTTTTAGAAGGAAAAATATAGGATTTTATCCCAAGGAAAAACATCAAACAACACCAACCTTGCTCCTTTTGATCCTCTTGCACAGATCGCACAACAGTGCCAACAATTCTTTTAAAGAAAGATCTAGCCTTTAATTTCTGCAACATGTAAATTTAATTAGGGGCAAGTCCAGATTGGGTTTATAACACTGCTAGTAACTAAAATCTTATACATATGCTAACATAAATACAATTTCCAAGTAAAATCATTTCGAACAACAGAAAACGATTATCATAGAGTGTCCATGTTGATGCAAGAAATAGTTGGAATATACAAATCAAGATCCACATGTATTTATACTTGAGACAAAATTGAACAAGTGTAGACTATGTCAAATAGATGTTTAACAAGTGTCAATCACGTCAAACAGATGATGAGTTCCAAATTTTAAGACAGGAAAGATAAATTATAGGATTGCTAAAGGGACCTCTTCTGATCCTTGAATCCGTTCCATCTCCATTTGAGAAAGAATGATCTTCTTTTTCTTAGCAATACAAGTCTCGATGGATTGCATTAGCTGTCTTTCCAAGGACTTGATCTCTGCTTCCTCGATCTCTCTGATAAAGAGAGATAAGTAACTGTAGGGCAAATTGACAGCTCCAAAACCAGACAAGACAGCCATGACAGTAACGCCAATGACCCCAATCCGACTGACCAATTGAGGCATGGTGAAGAAGCCTTTATCGGGGGAAGGCATAGGGAAGTGAATGCCCATGCGCCAGAAAGCATAAAGGAAGGCGAGCAAGAACAAGACGGATCCAAGAGCAGCGCGTTCCTTCCGGAACCCTGAGATGAATAGAGGAGGAGTTTGAAGTTGGAAAAGAAGAAACAGATGAGCATTCATTGTCTCTTTCTCGTTAAAATAACATAGTGCCAGACTTAGACGTAGGCACGTACCATTGTTGCAGAGCATTAAGAAACAATGATAATAAGGCAACATGAAAACCAGTAATAGTATGAGACAAAACAAATCGAGCTTCCAGTTGAGCCATCGTGCCCTGCAAAATACAATTTGTTGCAGAAAGCAAATGCAATTATGAAATGGCACCGAACCGTATATAATTATGAATTATTATTATTATTATAATCCCATTCGGATGGCAATGGCAAGCATAGGCTAGCAATTAGGGATTTAGCATACCTTTGGGAGAGAAAGGGGATGATCTCGAAGAGGACCAGCTGCAGCAGATTACAAGAGAAGGCGAAGACCACGCTGAATATGATCTGAACTAAGACCCTCTTCTCTTCGTACTCTTTGTAGAGCCTTCGGTTCAAGAACCACAGCCCCGCCCATCCCAGCAGCCCCAGCGATCCCAACGCCACCACTCCCTCGTAGATTGCCCAACCCCAACCCATCTATATATCTTCTGCGACTTTTTTTTGTTTTTGTTTTGACCGACTTTATGGAACCAGATCCTGACTATCCTATTTGCAATGGGGTGGCTCAACTTTCTAACTTTTTGATTCACACACCAATACTTCACGACGTTACTGGCAACTGCGATCGATTTCACTTCTTCTCGTTTCTCTTTTTCTTTTTAGACTGAGGGTGAGGAGTGCTGCTGAAGGAAGTAGATTTTTCTAAACTTCTTGGCCTGTGAGAGAAGGGACTTTGTTTTGACCAAAAAATTAAGCCTGCCAATTTCTAAATACTTACCTTTAAATATAAAAAATTGTTGTTCGAATTACAAGGGTAAAATAAAAACTACTTTTTGGAGGAAGAACTGGAAACCGAAATTATCTCAGCCACTAACTTCACGACGTTATGAATTTACACCTTTCTTTGATTTCTTCAATTTTATGTAGTTTTTTTAATAATGACGGGTACCAATTTGCAAGTTCAATCTATCAACTAAACAGATGAGACCTCAAGTCAAGTTCCAGGCATGCAATGCATACAAGTTATGGGAGGAAGGGAGGAAGGGAGGAAGAGACCTCCATTCAAATCACCGGTCTATCAATTCTCATTATTCCACGAGGCTATGAGTTGATAAAATTACGACAGTTCATTGCATATACATCAACAAATCAAAGCCAAGACCGACAAATGTTGCTCTTTCATGTTCAGGATATCCTTATCCTACATACATACTTGTGAATCATGTTGTTTGATTTATTCAGACCTAAAACTTTAGTCTGCAAATGTACTTTTAAACAAATATAGGTAACCACCAAAGCTTTCACAAACAAGAGTGACTCTTCAAGCACTCTCTGAAGCATATCATACGACTTTCCCAAGCCTGGACTTCCCAAAGCATGATTCTCTTCTCTCAACTATCTGCAAAACATTACAATTTAACCACAGTATTTAGAATCATCAATTAATTCACACGAAACCCTCCCTACGTTGAAACTCACCACGTGGGGATCGAGGACTTGTTGCAGAGAAGTCAGATGAAGTCATTGGAATTGATATTGAGAGCTGGGTGGTAGAGAATGAGGTCTGGTTGGATCTCTCATCCTCAAGACCAGACCAGGAATCCCTGCCTTTAGGCCACTCGTCAAAGAAAGGTCGGAGAGATTGACCTTCCTGTTTCACAGATTCTAAGGGGAATGCATTATTGAAAAATGAATGCTGTGGATAATCATGATGCAAAATGGAGCCATCACCCGATTTTGATGCGGGAAATGAGCCAACTCTGGATGGCATCAGAGGCCATGTGCTGTCTAGTGGTGAGTCCATCTGGAGACCCCTGTTGCTTCCTGAAGCATCAGACAAGAAACTATGCTCACCAATCTCGGGTTTAAGTCCTTGAAGATACCTGTAGTATAGTGAAGGGTGATTCATTTGCTGTTAGATGAGGTGTTCACATCTTTTGTCATAGTAAATAACAGTGAATGATGTGTTTACAGCTCTATGGATATCTCATATCTAAATGAAAAGGAATCTCAACTACTTTTGATATATCACTGAATGAATAACTGTTCAAAAATTTGTTCCTTAAAAAACTCAGCTTGTTCTCATATGATCACATCTCTACACACCTTCAGCAACTTTATCATCTCCCCATGTTACAGCACCAAACCACTGCATTCAAATGCAAATGATATTGTACGCATCATTTTAAGATATCCAACATGTCCTTACAGTTGCTTGTACAGTTCAAACTGATTCACGGTGGTGTTGCCAGCTTATGTGCAGGAAAAAAAAACCTTCCACCAAAAATACTATATTGATCACGTAAACACAAAGATGCACGGCCACTAAGTGTAGTTTTTACATTTTCTTTAGGAAAAAAAACTTAATTAGTTTTTCCCCTGAATTGTTAGAATACCATCTTTCTAATCTCATTTCCTAAACCTAATAAACCCATCCTCTACATCACGGTGCAAGTCCCAACTCCGTTATTGCATCAGAAAAAATGGAAATTGACAGACAAGTACTACAGGAGTTACAGAAGATCTTAAGGCATCTAAAGCGCACAGGAAACAAGCAAGTGCAACCAGCAAAAAAAAAAAAAGGGGCAAGGACAACAGAATATCAGGTACAAGAAATAATCTAAACATTTTTAAAATTAAGAGAGGAGTGACAGCGTAAGAGAAAGCCCATGAATTCATGAAATAGTTTCATATGATCAATGGAAACAAATAAAAGGTCAATTCTTGCACAGCTATAGGCATAGATGCCGCAGGATGCAAACGGCATATTATGTACCTGATATTCATGCATAATATGTATATACCCAAATGTACACAAGCAAGAAGGCAAATATAAAGCAGGAGAAAAAACAAGATAAATGAATTCTAACAATATTTATATATTCTATATGGTTTATATCAATATATTAAGGTAAGTAACATGAACTCCACTCAATCCTTTCATCAAAAGATGCAGGGGATCAATTCCTTTGCCACTGTTGAGAATAAATACATAAAATCTTTTGACCAAAAAATTTCTGCAAAATTCCTTGTCAATAGCTACCGTGCATGGTGAATAAGATGCCACTAACTCAGCACAATTTAAATGCTGTCTGATTTCGTCCAGGAATTAAGAGAGAATGCAAACTATAGAAGCAATTGCAAAGGATGGCTGTCAAAAGGCCCTCACTGGAAAGACATCAGACTTCTGGGCCTGAGCGTTGACAGGAATTCACAAAGTTTTTGCTAGACATTCAATATAGATGTCAGCAGTCTTTCCATATCAATTCCACCATACCACAATCCCGCAAATGCTAGATATAACAATAAGCTTTCCATAAAAAATTTAAGATACTCGGCTTAGGCACCAATATAAGATATACCAAATAGCAGCTAACATAATTAGAAACAATAATAAAGTATAAGGCCATCTACATATATGAGAGTCTGATCTGATGTGCTGTAGGTGATGCTCAAATGATTAAATAAAAAAATAAAAAAATTTAACTCTTTACAACTACTCTTTTAAGACCAAAAATATTCAGAAACTGATACATGCATTCCTTAAACAGATTTCTGGCAACCTATCACCCAAAAAAATATAGAAATTGGAGAACCGGTAGGCCTACCATTCCTATCTTTCTGTTCAGCAGAAACTTAGGATAGTATATAGTTTTTCACTTATTAGACTTCTGCAGAAAATTTAGCAGAGAAAACAAAATGAAAACTGATCCAGCCAGAAAGAAGACTGCAAAAAGGCCTAGACTTTCAGTGAAGACATAACAAAATTAAGCAACTATTCTAAGCACATCTGGGCCCAGAACCCTGGATCTGACAGAAATTGAAAAGTATCTATCTGCAAGACTAAAATCATGTGTATGCATCCAATAATTTGCATCACATAATACTCTGTCTCAATGCCGAAAATAAAACATACAGAAAGACCATTATCATATCTTCATTTTCTTTCTCTTCATGTTTCCATTTAATCAAGTTTCAACCTGATAAACTTTAGTTGGACTAGCCAGTTGTAAAACTTCCATTTCGCAAGCATTCAAACATTTTGTTTACTTTCTTCACTAGCATTTTTTTAACAATGAACTAAAGTAAAAGTGAATTGCAGAGAATGAAATACCTATAATCTTTGTTTGGGATTCCAAAAGGAATGGAGTCTATCTGATAATGAGACTGATTGGTTCCGGAACTAGTTCCTTGGGTGTTACCAAAGGCATTCAGTGGAAGGTTCTGGAAGCTCCCAGTTCCACTGCTGCTCGCAGTGACAGTCAATGATGTCACAGTGGACGATGACTGTGTCATGGTTTGTGATTCCACAGGCTTTCTTGAACGGTTGCGGCCACGGTGCATGTGGCGCTCACAGTACTTGGAGTCCGGGTATGCATCCTTGGAGCACCTCCACTTCTTTCCGTCAGTCCTTCTACAGCGTCCCGGTTCGGGGTCCACCTTCTTCCCGTAGAAGGAACAATAACCCACTGCAAAATTTATCCAGAATCTAATAAGTGATATGTTTACTTCTACTTCATCATCAGCAAAACCACGTATTGACTGTCTTATGATGTATTATCAGCAATAAAGACAGAAGGAATATATATATGTCATAGAAAACAATGAATATGTAATATGGAATTAGCCAAAAAGGAAAGTTGCGAATTTAGAAATTTCAAAACCAGAGGAACAACAAGAAGTGTTTGTTCCAATGCAGGAATTTTTTTTTTTTTTTTTTGTGGTAAATAAATAAGGGATGAACTTGAAAAACTAGTGTAAGAAAACGTGTACAGTAAAGAAGCACGGAAATTCCATTAAATATCAAAAGGTGACTCCTGAAATTAAATTGAACACATCCAGGCATAAGTCACAAATCCTAACCGCATGGCAAAGTCAAATAATTTCAGAGCCCAAAGGGCCAGGCGATTCCCTGTCTATTCATTTGGAGTGAAAAGAAATATAAGATCCCTGGTTGATTGAACCATAGAGAAAAACAGTAGTACAAAAAGTTTTAAAACGCATTTAACAAGTATTACACAACTTCATAATGGGCATTTACAATCCCCCCAAAAGAAGAAAAGAAAGAGGTGCTTCTCAAAATAAATTTAAACAAAAAAGTATAAACATATATATCCATGGTTTCTTATTTGAAGAACTGGAAAAGCCAAAAAGAAAAACCGAGGAAGAAAAGAAAACATATTTTCTTCAGATCAAATCGTTTAATCTGTACAAAAATAATCAATAAATTAAAAATATGAGAGAGAGAGAGAGAGAGAGAGAGAGAGAGCTAGGCTTACTGGTAGGATGGTGGAAGAATCTTTGAGAAATGGACTCAAAACTCTTCTGAATAGGAAGCACGAGATCAGGAGGCACCGGCATGCCTGCCATCATATACTTGAAGATCAGAGCCTGATGCTCCAGCTCTTGCCACTGAGACGCTGTGAAAGGTGACCTCATCCCCGTCATCCCAGCAGCCCCACCTCCACCTCCACCTCCACCTCCACCTCCAGTAGCACAAGTATTCATCTTCACCCCCCCAACCAACAACTATTCACCTCCAGCTCCAGGACCCAGGCAGGAGGAGCTCAAACATTACCGACGACGAGGACGACAGAGAAAAACATGGGACACACTAGATCAGCCTCAGTTTCGACTCGAGCATGTTGATGTTGGGTTACTCACTCTCGCTGTCTTCTGTTCTGTGCGTTTGTGTTGAGAAAGGGGGCAGCGTCTGTGACTGTGACTCTGTGGAAGG